TAGCTAATGGTATTTGGGGAGGGGAAATGGAGAGTTTTTTCATGTGTAACTCTACCAACATGGCTTTGTCATGCACACAGCTGAACACAGAAGCTCTGTGTGGAGAGACTACATCCATACTGATGGTGCGAAGTACCACCTCCTCCGTGCTGCTGGGAAGGTAGAAATAGCAACTCGGGGCTTAGTTTTTCAGTCTTGTAACAGCCACTCCTGTCTCATCTCCCAAGGGTCAGTGTTAACTTACTGCAAACTCTGTCCTGTAGAAAGCCATGTGATCCTGAAAAGAATTAACCCAGAACCCAAATTATTCTGTTATTGTTGGGGGTGGGGAGGTGTCTGTTTGGTTGGTTTTTCCTCCAGGAAAAAAAACCCCACCTTTTCTGTTCTAGTTCCTTACTTGGGAACAGGCTTCTTATTGAGTAGAAATAAATTCGCCCAAAGCAATGATGAGTGAAGTATACTCTGAACTGGTATTGCTGAGACTTTGTGTCTTTGCTCTGACCAGGGCATGATCATGTAATCTTCTCTCTGAGCTTATTTCGGCTAAGCTCATTTAGAGTAAACAGCTTTGCTTCTTCTTGAAACTTTTTGATGCACCCTAAAAAATACTGAAAAAATATTAAGAATTTTTAGCAATTTCTTTTACCAGCAGAAAAAAACTAAAACCTCGATTTGAAAACTGAGTAGTGCAAATACTTGTTTGGACTTGTGTATCTTGCTGCAACGCTGGGTTTAGTACTGAGCTTGCAGTGAGAAGGATTTCTTGTTTTTTCTCCTATGTGTGACATAGCTTACAAAACTCCAGATACTCTGCCACTGTATCTCTGCCATTCGTAAATGCAATGCAGACTCTGTAAAACGGAGTTTGAGCCGCCTGTCCTGTAGGCACCTCATTAGCAGCTGGTTCAGCTGTACTCTCATCTAGTGATTGCCAGCATGGCAGCAGGAGTATTTTTGGAAGCAAGTTGCCGTGTCAGGCCTGGCTCTGGTGCTCTGCTCTGGATGAAGTGCAGCCCTTTTTGGGGGGGCAGAGGGGAAGGCTGGGCTAATCAAACAAGTACAGGAGGAGATATGGAGCTATTCTCTAATCTAGTTTTTATTCTCTTCCAGGTCTTGGTGACACCTTGATGTTCATTTCTCCCTGTGAAGGAAGCTTCTATGGGGAATATGTACCTAGGAGTATAGTTACAGTGGTTTTCTCTTAACAGGAGAAGCCATATGGTTTCTGTTGAGGAAATAGGGAAGGCAACTCAGTTGCTAATGCACTGATTTTTTAAGAGCGTCCAGATGAATGTGAATGTGGCTTAGGTTCACTAAACGTTTTTTAAAAGACTTGCAAAGTCAGGTTCTGACGGTAGTGTATTGGGTAACTCCATTGCTGCTGTTAATGTTAATGTAATTGTATTAAGCAACAGAACAAAGCTTCCTGAATGCATATATTTTACATGATGTAGAAGTCACAAATTAGTATGTAAGTCCAAAGGTTGGTTTAATAAAGTTGGTGTTCCCTGAAAAATGTTTTCTTGTCTATCTTTAGACCATCATGACTAATAACTCTATTACAGTTAAAAAGCAGATAAACAGGAATGTTTGTATAACCCAAATCAGTAGCTTTGTTTTAGAGCAATAAGCCAGATAAATGGGTATGTGTTTGGCTACTAAGGACAGGAGGGTTAGAAGAAGCAGTCAAATCCAAGTTGGTATTCTGCAGCCATCTGCAGGAACACTAATCTGCCAGGTAACTGCTGAGCCATTGTGGGCTTAGTGCCCGTTAGTCAGCTAGGCATTAAAGAGCAATTTAACATTCAGAAGAGTAATTACAGCTGTTCAGAACTGTGAGACTTAGATATGGGTGGTTCTGTGCAGGTTTCGGAGCTGCCGTGGAGTTCGCCAAATCCAAGTTTGGCAGGGATACGGTGTTGTGCAGCGTGGTGTGGCGGGAGGTGGAGTGGAAGGCAGCCGTGGTGGGCATCTGGCGGCCATTCTGGGGAGAAGAAGAGAGGTTAACCCAGGGAGAAGGAGGTGTAGAGACCCTGGCGCAGTGTGTGTGCAGGCAACTTGGTTATACTGTTCAGCAGTTAGTGAATCCTGGATTAGAGAGGATGGTGCAGAACTTGCCCAAGAACTCCGCAGTGCTGGCGGGTGAGTTGGCATCGGTCAGTCTTCTGTCCCAGGTCTGCCCAGCTTCTCACTGAGCAACAGACGGATAATTTGGAAAGTACAGAAAGGATAAAAGGAAAAGAAACCTATCCTGACACTGAATTGTCAGTCAGATCCTTCAGCTCTTATTTAAATGAGCGGTTGCACTAGAGTCAACACCATCAGGCCCATGTTTGTCTGATCAGACAGGTTACTGCAAGACCATACCGCAGCAGTGGAGCATCTTGGATGCTGGCTTTTCACAGAGATGATGATCTCTGTATGAAACAAAACTGATGTAGCAAGTGGTGTGAGTTAATATCCAGCCCAATGCCAGCTATGTTAAAAGTGATTTGAAATCTCAGAAAACCTCATGCCTTGATGTGATCTCTCTTCCAGTAAGATGTGTGTGCTCTTACTGGCTTTCTAAAGGAAGGGACCTGTCTATGGATCCTGTAACTACTGGAGAAAGGAGGCAGTTTTTATTATTATTCCATAGTGGCACAGGCAGAAGGGTCTAGAAGTTGTATGGCGATAATAAGACAAGCAGTGGAGACAAATCTCATTTGTTATAGTAAGTGTTTTCCAGAGTATCTTTGGCAGGATGCAAATTGCTGTATTTTTCCACTTTATTCAATAACCTTGCTATCTTGCTTCCAGGTGAGGGAGGATATTAGAGATTTTTATCTTCTGAAGCAGAGCTAAAGTGGGGGGCAAATGAGATGACCAGTTCAGTGGATTAAATGTTCAAACACATCTCTTAATCTGGAAAGACCATGTACTTTGCGCAGCAAACTGCTCTTCGTATTCTAAGCAATGTCACTGTGATGTCTGGAGTAGCTAACTGCTGCTCCCTAGAGCCGAGTCGGGAAAAAACCCTTCCATCGTGAAAAAGCAGGTGTCAAGCAAGAACCAGCCATAATGTCATACACGTTTTCTTTTCTCCTCTATTCAGTGAAAGGATGCTTTCCTGTGATATGAATGTGCTACATGGTTGGGACTGGAATAATTTCAATGTAATACTTAAATCAGACAGACATTAAAGATTCTCAGCCTACGAAACACTAATCTTACATCCATTATCATCATCTGCAAAGAGCTTTAGTCTAGTCTCCCTTATGTAAATAGAGCCCCTAGAGGAGCAAACTCTGTTTTTCCAATAATCAGAAAAGAATTAAGTAAGGTTCTCAATCAAGAAGGAATTTTGCTTTATAAAAGCAGATAATAACAGATGCAAAGACTTATTTAACAAAAACCAACTCTCATCGTTTGGCACAGTTGCTGCTTTAATCTGGTTTGTCATTTTTCTCCCTCGTGCAGAAAACGTAATGTCCTTCTTGTATCCTTGTTTGTACACATCACCTCTTATTCCTTTAAAGAGTCCAAAGTCTTAATTTAGAACTGTTGATGGGAATTAGGGCTGTGATGTTCTCAATTCAAAGGCTGATAGCCTGAAAACACAGGGAGACTCTTAAGAGGAGCATGATCAGAGGAGAGGTTTAAGCCTGTCTCTACCTCTTTGACAAGCACTAGTGCCAGAGCTTGCCCAGGGCAGCAGGAGTGCCTGGGAAGCTGCTAAGGGAGGAATAACTCGCCTAGAGAATTTTCCCTACCTCTTTAACTTGCTGGCTCATGCCCTCGAGCAGGACTTTTAGCAGTGATGCTCTCTGATCCTCACATCTGCATTCTTCTTATCCAAATCAATGTTTCTTCCCTTTCGGTTGGTCTTTGAAGGCATTTCTGTGCCAGCTGACAGGATTGTGGCTGTCCGATCCCTCTGAAACTGTCACAGGATGTTTAAACAGCTAATAAACAAAGGGGAGAGCCTTACCAGAATACGCAAAGGCAGCAAAACGCTGATGTACCAAAGTTCAAAGGAGCTTCAGAGATCACTGATGAGTTGTAGTGGTTGAAAGTCTTCTATGGGACATAAGAAGGGGCAAATTTAGGCTCGCTGCTACCCAGCCGCTAGCCTCAGAGATGTATCTCTCTGACAGCACGAGGCAGGCCTTTCAGCTCTCGGGAGAGTACAGTTTGACAAGGTGCTGCAGCTCTGTGGCGTAGCCTGTGATCGGGCAGCGCTGGTGAGTCTTCACGTAATTGTACACACAGCGGTAGCAAAACACAAAGCCGGACGTGGACAGGGCCGTGGCATTGACGCGAATTTTGCGGCACAGAGGGCACATGGTCTTCAGTTTGGGTAAGAGAGCTGAGCCGGCCCCATGGTCGAGGTGCATGGGGGGTGGAGGAGTTGGAAGTGCTGTCAGAGATTTGATCGTCTCTTGGTTTTCTGAGGAGTACCACCAGTCCAGGAACTGGAGGAAGAACACGCTGATGGACAGCCCGGTGGACAGGGAGAAGGCAATGCCAGCCAACGCTTTCCTCACTGCTGACTGCACTTGTGTTTTAATGCTGTAAAAGAGAGAGAAGATAGGGAGAAATCATTACTACTGCACATTTGTCCATCTGCAAACCATGGCAAAAAGGACTTGGGCAGTAAGTCACAGCTTTATACAGGTTCTTAATGCTAAGGAAGTTGGTCAACATATGCCATGTTTGTAATGAGGCATCTGCTAGGATGTTTCTCTCAGATTCTTTGTATTTTAAGAAAGCTTCAAGTCCTGTTTTGTTCAGAAGTCTAAATTGAAGAGTTTGGATTGAGGGGACCTGGACCACAGAGCGTTTCACTCATGGATCGTTGTTTTACAGGCCATTAAGTGTGGCCATGACTAGCTGCTGCTCAGAAAAATCAGAAAGCTAAGTTTCAGTCCTTTTAGCAATATTGTCCCTGCTACTTGTTTCCTTATTTACACTAACGATATACCCTTTTGGAGCATGTTTTGCCAGAGGTAGACTTCATCTTGAAGAATTTCTGGAGAACAAGACAGTTTTACTTGCAGCATCACCTCTAAACTAACACACCCCCAGAACCCCCTAGAGAGCAGCAGCTAAGCCGTGTTCTGACATACCTGTGTGTTTGACTTGCAGTGGCTCCAGCCAATTTCTTCTCCAGGGCCTGCATATCCTCTGCAGTTAGTCTGACAAGGCGAACACCAGCCAGCCGCAGCATGGGTGAGTGATGCTGAGCTTTCCCAAGGATATAGCACAGTTGCTGGATGAGAAACCAGCCCTCCCAGGTCATGTTTACAAAGGGGTAGGCAGCTAGAAAGGCTCTGTAAAAGCGCTTCCAGGATGATGATGGAGGGTGGATGGAGTACTCATCCTCTTCCCTCAGGCTGGACACCAGTTTCTCCAGCTTTCCTTTCAGGTAAGGAACAAGAACCAGCAAGAGGAGAGACTTCCAGTGCTGCCTCTTTGGCAGGCCAGCAGTGGCCAGAGGCTGCTGTCTGTGATCTCCTGTTGGTATCCTCTTTAAGGTATAGAAGTTTTCAGAAAAGGAGGCACTGCACCTGGTCAGATAGTGCTGCTGGAGCAGCAAATCCAGAAGGACGTAGATCTCATCAAACCAGTGCCAGAGGAAGCCATATCGGCCAGGATTAGATTCAACAAGCACCTATGGAAAGGGACACAAAGCGGAAGGAACTGAAAGCAGAGTAATGTGCTAAATGACAGCAGCTATAAATTATGCCTCCAGTTCATAAAGCGAGCTGGGTGGGTGAAAACCATTATGCTGGCTTGTGAGCGTAGCCAGAGGTAAACCCTGGCGATGAACGGCTCAGCACAGAGCACAGGGTCCCTCTCTGGAGCAGTTTCCCCACAGGATATTCACCCTCAAGACACTGTTCACCTCAGTGTCCAGCTCCCCGCAGCGCGGTGCCCCCAAGGCCTGCAGGGAGGAGGCCGCCTCCCGCCCCTCCTCTCCTCCCCTCACCCCAGGCCTGCGGCCTGCCTCGCCCTTACCTTGACCAGGTGCTGCAGGGCGGGTTTCACGGCGGCCATCAGGCTGTCCTGAGCCACCGCCTCGAAGATGGAGGGCCGGTCGTCGCCGGCCGAGGGGGCCGTGAGGTGGGCGCCCAGCTCCGCCATGGCGCCGGCTGCGCCCCGCCCCGCCGCTAGGGGGCGCCCCGCCCCGCAGGGCACCCGTCTAGGCGCAGCGGAGCACCGCCCCTCCCCTCCTCTTCCGGAAGCCCGGCGCGGACGACGCTCTGTCTCCTCCCTCTCCCCTCTATGGTAGCAGGGGCGCGGCCGCTCTAGGCGGGGGGAGGGTTTATTCTCGCTCCTCGCGAGTCCTCCCGGTTCTTCCGCTCCGCTTCCGGTTCCGCCGCCGCCCCCACAGCGGTGTGTCCGTCCCGCCGCCGTGAGTGGGGCCGGGGGGGGGGCCGGGTCACTGGGGGGG